CTCGCCTGTAGACGCCTGATCGCCTGCCAGGCCAGGCCAGGCCAGGCTAACTTGTGTAGCCGGCTCAAAATTGACTTGCAATGATTTTATCTGCTGAATTCTGTATTACCCATGTAGCCGATAATGTAAAATAATGGACATTATTTTCGATTATTTTCATAAATAATGTGGATAATGTAATTAAAATGCAACCTAATTCATGCACTATCTTCCAAATAATGGGAAATTTTTCCAATAGTCCCTTGTTTTTTAATGAATTATTTCTAATTTTACCATTGTTTCCTGCAATGCATTATAATGCATCAAAATTTAAAAATATAATGGAATCTAATGCATTGAAAGCGTGAAAATTTTTAATTAATTAGATTTCATTATATTTTAAAATTTTGATGCATTATAATTTATAACGCATTGCAGGGAAATAATGGTAAAATTTTAAATAATTCATTCAAAAACAATGGATTATTGGAAAATTTTCCCATTATTTCCCATTATCGGCTACACGGATAAGTATCGTCATGATCCTTTTGCAAATTCAGAAAAAAAAGAAAGCGAATAATGATTGGATTGAATTTAATCTTACGATTATCACTAAAGGTACAATATAAAAGCTAAATCAAAGAAACGAAGACAAAGTGTCTGTCAAATAACGTGAACGTTGGACGAACAAGAGAATGAAATATAAAATTTAAATCCATAATATACTTCGATAGAGCATTGAACGCTGTGCAAAATAGTCTATTTTAGTGCGGTTTCTCTTGCTGTTCTATAGTCCAAAGATTCATTTTTCTTCTCACGTGCCAGCAAAAACTAACATTTCGTTGTCATGTTTCCCTTATAACTCACCGTCTGTATGAGCTACAGAGCTGAAGTTTTGTGTGCCAGTGGGACATACCAGAGATCCCAACAGGTCACTTTTTTCCGGTCTGACCTATCCTGCAGGCATACAAGAAACCAAAAACGTTATGTGTATTTTTATAACATATTCATTAGGTTCTATTTTGGTCAAGATGCTGAGGATTCGTGTGATTATTTCTTTCTTTTCTTAATAGTAATAATATTAAAAAGTTGTTTTATATATTAGAAAATAAAAACTCTCTGAATTAGCACCACTAGCATTTCACACAAGAAACAAGCACTATTAAACAATTTATAAATATGAACTGTTATAAAGTAATAAAAGGTTAAAATGCATTGACTACTTTGTCTTCGTTTCTTTGATTTAGCTTTTATATTGTACCTTTAGTGATAATCGTAAGATTAAATTCAATCCAATCATTATTCGCTTTCTTTTTTTTCTGAATTTGCAAAAGGATCATGACGATACTTATCCGTGTAGCCGATAATGGGAAATAATGGGAAAATTTTCCAATAATCCATTGTTTTTGAATGAATTATTTAAAATTTTACCATTATTTCCCTGCAATGCGTTATAAATTATAATGCATCAAAATTTTAAAATATAATGAAATCTAATTAATTAAAAATTTTCACGCTTTCAATGCATTAGATTCCATTATATTTTTAAATTTTGATGCATTATAATGCATTGCAGGAAACAATGGTAAAATTAGAAATAATTCATTAAAAAACAAGGGACTATTGGAAAAATTTCCCATTATTTGGAAGATAGTGCATGAATTAGGTTGCATTTTAATTACATTATCCACATTATTTATGAAAATAATCGAAAATAATGTCCATTATTTTACATTATCGGCTACATGGGTAATACAGAATTCAGCAGATAAAATCATTGCAAGTCAATTTTGAGCCGGCTACACAAGTTAGCCTGGCCTGGCCTGGCCTGGCAGGCGATCAGGCGTCTACAGGCGAGCAGGCCAGGCTGGTATCTCTGATCCTAGTCACGCACATCAACTACCCGTTTCGCCGATGCCGATAGTGATTTCGAGGAATGTTGGAACACATTTCAATTCGATCGAATAAATGAAAAATTTTATAAGCAAAATATTTTTTTAAAATATGAATTTTTATTCAAAAGAAATCAACCATTTACTCAAAGGATCGTTTTTTCTTTTCGCTTGTCATACAAAACGATGATCTATACTTCATGATCGAAAAATTGATCGTTGATATAGACAACAAAATTTGTGTGCGTGTAGGTGTTCATGTTTCCATATACTGATCACATTCTTCTAATTCGATTTCAGTTATGAATGGCTCATTCGGCAAATATGGTGCTTTAACTTGTGAGACTTTTAGAATCTTAAATACTGTATAGGGCATTATCAATAATTCACCTTCGTTTGGATACTGTGAAGAATTTTCCACATGTAAACCTGTACGTCGATGTTTCAGTGTATATTTACACATTGTCCATGATTTAATCGATTTTCCATCGGCTTTCTGACGCTGCTTGACACCAGTTTTCTCATATTCTAATTCTTGTCGATGTAGAAATAATTCGGCAATTTTTCGATCAATCGACGATGATAAAAATGATTTCGTCATTAGACAACAGTTAGGTTTATATTTGCTGATATCATCAGTAGTCATTCGTACTACACGATAACCAGAACCAGTAAATGAATATGTATCCAATGAAGAATGATATGAAAGTAATGCAATAATATATCTCCGCTCATTTTGACATTGAGTCGCACCGCCGGCTATTTCAGTATTAAGATAGGAATAGAAATCTGTTTCAGCTGTGTAGGCTTTAATTATCCATCGGGGATCTTGTTCTTCTGTAGCTTTTCGAAAAAAATCTTTTACATGATCAATACCACGAATATTAGACAGAGATTTTTTAATGTAATTTTTTTCAATTTGTTCAAACATTTTTTGAATTGTATGAGTTTGAATAAAATGATCATAGACAGATTTAATTATTCGTCGCTCTTCAGTTGCATTTTCTAAAACATTAACATCAATTAATTCCCATTCAATGGCACCTGTTATCGATACCAATCGATTACTGTTTGGTACACGAAAGAAAAGTTCTTTTATGTCACTCGTTAATGCTTCATCGTATGGCAAACATTTATATTTATTTTGTACGGCCCGATCAGCGCCTGCTTCTAACAACAATTTTACAATTCGCCCATGACCATGATAGCATGCAGCATGTAATGCTGTACTACCATTGGGTTCCAATCTATTTATCTCATCAAACGTAATTCTGTGAAGTAATTCTACAACTTTATCAAATTCATTGCAACGACATGCCACATAGAATTCGCTACACGCATCGGGCGCTGGTGCCTGTGACGGTTGTCTTAGTTTTTCTCCGCTCGATAGCTCTATTACGACTTTATCGAGATCGACACGCTCCGGATGATCCGATTTTGAACGATAAATACCATATTGATCGTTGCGACGATCTAACGCATGTGTTTTTAACCCTTGGATAATGTTTCCCATTTATCTGCGTAAATCAATTGTTTAAAAATTAGCCCAGCTAAAATTATCTGCAACATAAGTATATTTACATTTCGAAAATGGTCACGATTAATGTGAGTCGACTCGTCAAGATGCTATTTCACATCGAACAATACGCAAAAATGATTTCAAAAGTTCGCCGATGCAAATATATACGACATCATATCACTTGTGCATGAAGTAAAAAATTGTTTGTTTGCACAATGAAAAGTTCTTTTTTTTTAAACTGTATAGGGCGTAGTAGTGTGACAAAGAAGGATAAAATTCAGAATTTTATTGACACACGTTGTACTTTATTGCTTGCCAAGGCCAAACATAGAGAAAAACATTGCTGCATTGTTAATGAATAGAGACGAGTTGTGCAGGATCAAAATGGTAACATTAATAACAACAACAACAACAACTGAATTTCTATTTCACGCACATACAAGAAGGAAACAATTGTGCATTGCTCATGCAATCGTTTTCTGACACCATTCCATGTGACGAGACTGTAAATTTGATTATTAGAGGGAGAAAAGTACTTGACATGCTTTATGAGTTATTTCTGTTGATAGCCAGATGGTTTTGATCCGATCGAAAATGATTCAAGAGAAAAGAAAAAACAACTAGAATCAAAATGCTGAAAAAATTGTGCAGGGGGGGGGGGGGGAA